CATGTATATTGTATTAGTCCTCCCACAGCAGAAATATATCACTAGTTGCTTTTCCACAGAAGTTCTTCCAAATGAAATTTAGGCCCATAGTGGTGGTAACTAATCCTTCATTAAGACTTCTCCATGACTTCTTCTGCTCCCTTCCCCTCAATAATCTCTCTGGGAAAAAATAATGTACTAAGATAGGACAACCTGAGACCTTATGTCTGAAAAGACAGAAGTTTTGGTGGAAAATAAATTTGTTATGACACTTTTTTTTTGAGGAAAGATTTGAGGTCAATTTCATCTAATGCATTCTTGTTCCAGAACTAGTTTTTCCCCCGAGGATGGCATTCTGCTAAGGAATGAGACAAACTGCTAACACCTTCAATCATTCATGAGTAAAAGCTCTCTTGTTAGGCAGCATTATCTAATCTTCCTTGGCATCAACCCCTATTTTCTTTGTGCCTTGCTGATTTTTATTTATTTAATTTTTTTTTGGTGGGACCTTCTCCGGTGGCCGGCCGGGGAACGAACCGGTGCTGCAGAGGCTGCGGGCAGCCTCACAGCCCAGCGCTCAACCGCTGCGCCACCAGGGGAGGCCCTTGTGCCTTGCTGATATTTTAATGAACTACATGATTATGATACTGTTTTGCTGAAAATTTTAGCCAAATCCTTTATGATGCAAAGAGTTGAAGAAATTTAACTTTTCTTTTACTCAGGCTATATAAATGGTCTAGTTGTAGACTTTGTGATTGTGTAGGGCATGATGAGTTGGGTCCATTTAAAGGCAATTCCCTCTTCTCTCTTAGCTGAATATGGAAGCGAGTGATGTCCTAGAAAAATCTGCTGGCTTGGCGGAGGCATTGCTATTAAAATAAATTGGGTTACCAAGTGTTTATTACATTTTTATGTTTTCTCTCATCATAATCCTTCATAATGTGTTTAAACAATTAATTACTACAATATCCAACCTTCTGAGGTTTAGAAGAGGGACCCTGGGTAGATTGAAAATGCTGTGATTCCCTATTTTGGGCAAGAGGGATAAAGATTTTTTGTTGTTGCTATTAATTAATCACATGTTAATTTTGCATTTATTGAGTGCTCACAACGTAATGTGAACAACCAGATGTACTTAAAGAGACATGTTAAGCCATTATGGCCTTTTTATGCTCATATATTTAGCAGTTATTGGGGGCAAAGAATGAGTCTGTGACTTTTGGGAACTTTCCTAGGTGGGGATGTTTAGTTAACTTTTTTTTTGTCTATAAAGATCTCTTATGTATCTAAACACTATGTTATTGTGTAATATTCAATATATTTCATCACAGTACTCCAATTATTTCTTCTTTATGTTCCTAGCTGAAAAATTCTGTTTCTCAAGCATACCCTGCTGTGGTTTTGTCAATTGTAAGGAGTGTTTTTATTGCGTACTTTGTATAAAATACTTTATCTCATGCAATCATCATGTAATCATTTTTGGGTAGAAGTTGTTATTTTCCTCATTTCACAGGTGAGGAAATTTAAGTCTTGTAGATTTAAATGTCAAAAACTTCATTTTCTCAAGATCAGTTAGCAAAGTATAGAGCCAGTCTGATTCCAGAACTCTCCAACCATCCATCCATCCATCCATCCATCCATCCATCCATCCATCCATCCATCATCTATTCTGTCATCTACAATACCTACCTACCTAATACTAACCTACCTTCCTACCTACCGATCTATATAGCTACCTATCAAAGTATAAGAAGGCTTGATTTCTATTTTATATCTATTCTCAAATGTCAGTGTTAATCCTTGTTTCTGTGTCACTAATCTTGTGTCAATAATGGCAGAGTGAGGTGGTAAAAACTTTTCCAAAACTCTCTGCACCTGCATGGGCTTATTGACTGATGGACCTCCCTATAGGTTGGCTAGGAAGTCATTCTCTAATATTTTGTTGGTAAACATCCAATTCAATATCCATTGTTTATTTCTTTTGAGCCTTCGTTTTGCCTCAGAGATATTTTCTGAGATGCTAGTATTATCCGGACAGAGTGAGGGAATTGGAGGTGTCCCTCTTCAGGAGCAGGCATGAATTTAACCCCTCTCTTTATAGTATAGCACCTTATACCTCATACCCACACACAGTTCTATGAATGAACATCTCCAGAAAGTAAGCCTCACTTCTGATTGGGTAAACAGAAGCAACTCCATAATTGTATGGGGTCAGGGAGGGTTTGACTGTGCCTAACACAAACATCCATCCAATCCTATTGCTGCCAGCTCATACTCATCTAGTATTTGGTGGAGAGGTACCCCCACTCTGATATGCTCATAGCATTCAGCTCGAAAAATTCCCGCCTATAAAAATGTCCGTTTTTCAGCTCCTGCCAGTATCACAAGTTCAAACAGCATCTTCTTTCAAATCTACCACAAATGTTATACTATCTATGAAACTCTTGTTGATTTCCTCAGCCAGGTATTACCTTCCATAGTGTTCTGTGTGAAATGTTATATTTATGCTCAATAAATGTTTTTCATTTTCAGGACCAAACCTGGAAACTGTTCTTCATATTTTTTTAATGTCTACTGCACAATTTTCAGCACATTTTGGGTAGCAACAATAATAATTAAGTTGATTGTTTTATGTTACATAGCCTTGTTTCATAATTTGTTAATAATTAGAAATAAGCAAAATAAATTAGGTAAGTTTTGTAATTATCTTGTATAATTTCTTATTGCATATTTTGTGTTAGATATACATCAAAATTAATTTTCACATCCTCCCTGCAAGGTAGATACTATTATATGCATTTTACAAGTGAAGAACTAAAAGATTAAGTAACATGCTCAGTAATAACACTTATTGAATAAAACACTTTCACCTTAGATGATGTCATTGTATTTTGAGTCTCTCAACAAATCTTTGTGATATTATTCTTTAATAAGAGAGAAAAGGACATCTTAGAACAATGTTTCTCATAATGACTACAGAATATGAATCCCTGGTTGGGGGGTCCCAAAGGCTTTTGCAAAGTTCCTTCAGGTCTTTTCAAGGAGTTTGTGAGGCCAACCATTGTAATAATGAGACATTGCTTGCCATTTTTCACTCTCGTCTCTCTCAAGTGTACATTGAAGTTTCCAAAGTTTTCTTGATGAGTACATCATTACCCTGACAGTTAATCGGATATGTGCCTGTTTATTCTTGGGTTTTAAAAACTTCTTAATTTTTAACTTAATAGGGTAAATACCAGTTGATATAACCCACACATTCAAAAGCTGTTTGGAGTTTCTCAATAATTTTTAAAAGCTTATAGGATTATGAAAACTAGAGTTTGAGAACTACTACATCAAAGGAATACAGTCTTTGTCTTCCATAAGAGATGTAAGGTCTTTTTACTAGAAATGGATTTCTAGAAGAAATGCATCTAGTAGACTCAAGTGGAGTCTGTGCCCTTCTTCGTGTATTGTGCTGCTTGACATGGAATACTTGTGGATATCAGAATGTTCTCTATTTTACTAGAAAAATTCAACCTTTCTGGAATTTAGGTGTTATGTGTCCAACCAAACCGTCTGAATATATTCACCTTAATTAGTAAACAATTTTCCAGGCATTCCTACCAATCCCTCCTTTTTCTTTTTCAGTGCAAGATTATTTCACAGAAATCCACCTGGAATTTAATTTCCTTTTGCCCTTGAGGCCTTTTGTTTGTAGTTAATTTTACCAAAGTGGTTTCTTTGGAGGTTGATCTTTTTGAAAATCACAGTACTCAAAGAAAGAAAGAGAGAGAAAGAAAAAAAGAAAGAAAATTTTCTTATGAGAGAGTCTTTGAAAAGCCTTCATGTAGGAATTTTTTAATCCTTTTAGGTTTCTGTCTGATTGTTGGAAGATGATCTAGAAGAGTTTCCTAACTACATGTTTATGTGTGATACAAACTGAAAATTTATCCAGGATTCTGGGCTCTGATCTAAGATTCTGTGAACTAAATAATATGTTTTTAGATAGGCTTTACTCTCTTAAATCATGAAATTTTTAGTTTTAAATACAAATTTAGCCTGATAAGAGTTGTGATACATTGTTGATGGATAATAATATAGAATTTTTTTGGTTTGGCTTTTTATACTTATTTACTTACATAAATACTTAGGGCTATGATATAAAATATGGATTGAAATTATAATTTCCCAGACTTACAGTTTTCCAAATTTCATGATATTGTCACATAAAAATAATATATAAAGAAAAAAATGTGATGAATGAGTGATAATATTTTAGAGAAATTTTAAGTAGTTAGATTTTGAAGAGATGATCTTCAAACTGTATAAAGATCCAAAATTTTGACTCTAAAAAGAAAAAAAATTGCAAGTTGTAAAAAAAATAGGAAAACTGATGATTTTTGAATGTCAAAGTTCCTTAAATGAAATATCTAATAAGTGAGAACATTTTCCAAAATTCTAGTCATTTCATTTGCACCAAATTTCTAGAGGTCATGAATAATACTGATTGCTGCAGTTGAATCGATTGTGTAACAATCCACATTGATCATTAAGACAGCTGAAATGAGCAGATCAGCCACAGGGCACTTTATTTCACGTGTATAGACATGGGCCTAATTCCCAGCATAGAAGTCTCAGAGAAATATTCTTAATACAAATGTTTTCTTGCACTGACTACACACTAAAGGCTCATTTTCTCCCATGCTGTAGGAAACAAGATCTTGGGGATATGGTCTCAGTATGTTGACGCTGCATTTAGGGTTTGTAACTAATACCTTATTCTCCATCTTACAGGTTAGAACTAGGTTTTGGTAAATCTGCAATGGGAAATCATCTGTGGGTATTTTACAGTGAGGGGGGCCACTAAACCTCTGTCTCCTGAATGAAAATAAGATGCCCCTGAGCTTTGTGATAATAATGTTTTCTGAAATTTTTGCCATGTGTTCTTCTCACATCTGGTTGCAAGCAAGGTCTGGAGTATATAAGAGATGGATGCTTCTGAAGAGATTCCAAGCCAAAATCTCTTTACTCTCTCCTAGGAGTTTCTTGGATGAGTACAAAGTCTGAAAACCAGTGGCAACACAATCTAGGAGTTGGTTTTGTCAAAACACTTGGGAATGAGGTGAGTAACGTTTGCTCTCTGCGTTCAAATTTTTTGGGGGGTGGGGCGGGAGGGAAAGGATTGGGGTCAGAATGGGGCGTTTGCAATTGTATGGGGGAATATAAAAATAAAATTTAAGATAAAAAAAAAACAAAAACAAATTTGTGAAATACGACACAGGAAAGATGCAAAAGATTATTCACACGGTATCTTTGAGAGAAGTTCTATGTAATAAAATGGCTAAATTGCAAATTATAGCCTTAACCCAGTAAACCTATTTTTAAAAACCACTATAGAATCCAGTAACATGGAGGAACTGGAGCAGAAGGGTTGGTGTTTCTAAAAATGCAACAATTTTTGTGAGTAGCTAATTTGGAATACTGTAAGAAATTTTGTGTGATGTTGCTGTGTCACTAATTCTATAAAATCTATAGCTTAGGTAGTTACCTTCCTTCTCTCTTTTAGCTGTAAACCCTTAGTGCAAATTGACTTATTTCTAGATTTTCGATGATTACTTATTATCTTTGAATTTGACTGAATGTTCATTGGTTGTTCTTCCTACAGATAATGAATTTCTATTTCTTTTTTGCTTTCAACTGGAACATAAGGTTTCCAGTTATAATTTCAGCAAAGGGAAAACACTGGAAGACTAATAAACACAGGCTGATGAGTTTTCACTTTGCTGTGGCTTTTTCAGTAGGACATTGAGTCACATTAGGAAAATGTTCCTTTCAGAAGCTTCTTTCTCCCTGTACTGTTTGAATACCCCCTCCATTCTTGGATTTGTCAGGTGTTCTTTGAAGTCCTTTGGGGGCAGCCTTCTGAAAGAGTTTTATAAAGATTGAAACCAAATTTGCTCAGACAAATATCCAAATATGTGTTCCTCATAATATCCAAATCATATTTTTGTATTTTATGTATGTTGAACATTTCATATGTTTTATCATGTTAGCATAACATTAGGTAAACAACAGTGCAGACATTAGGTATACTAATAGTACAGGGGAATTAGTAAATAATTAATAAATTTAATTTGTATAAAATATTCTAAACATATTCAGACACAAATAATGAATGCACACACACATATACACAGTTAAATATTAAGTCTTTTTTCAACCTAATGCTTTTTATCTCATTCAAATAGATACTCCATTACTTTTTTTTTAAAGATTTAATTTAATTTATTTATGCAAGCACTGGGTACAGTCAGAAGCACGGAAGGGTGAGAGAATTCACCAGAGCCAGAGCGGGGAGCAGAGCAGGCAGAAGGACCAAAATACACTCCTGAGGGGAGCAGCGGGTGGCAGGAGAGTTCTGCGTGCCATGTGGGACCCTCCTCTGGTGGCCGGGGAGCAGCTGGGGATTGAACCGGCGCTGCAGAGGCTGCGGGCAGCTTCGCAACCCAGCGCTCAACCACTGCGCCACCGGGGAGGCCCAATACTCCATTACTTTTTAATATATTTTTCCAATCAAATATACCTTATGCTATTAATGTCTTACATGTACATTTACTTATTAATCTCCAATTAACAACACAGAATCAAAGAGGTGATATGACTCAGTTGTGTTTTCTGATATTGATTTGTAGGAGGGGACATGATGAAAAGTTTAAATTCTTGGGAGAAATTAGTCTTCAGAATGAGGAGAATTAATTGATACAGGAGTATCTCAGAGCAGCAAGTATAAAAGAAGGGTTGCTCCTCCACCATATTATAGGAAAAAATACTGTCCAATTGTTGAGGGGAAAAGAGAACAGGAATTTGTATTTGAAGGTTGCTGCATCAGGAGAGAATTGGCTCCTGCTTTCTGGCATTCCCTTCTGGAGACTGTGAGCCTACACAGGGAGTGAGAGGATACAGGGAGCAGTCAGATAGAAGAAAGAGCAGCAATTTCAAAAAGATCATGTCCCCAGCAAGGCAGAGAAGTAGAGAAAACTGAGGTCCAGGATGGGGCCATGTGATATGAGTCAAAGCAACTTCACCTTTGCTTTTGCTCCTCATGATTCAGGAACATCTCTGCTCACTACCTCTACGTCCTGGACAAGAGGAAGACCATGAAACTGTCTGTAGCACAATGTCATGATAGGTAGGAACCGTGTTCAAGAGGGAGGCTAAATGATTGACCAGCCCTCTGATACAGGTGCTTCACATCAGAAAATTGTCCAGTGGAAAAAATGCACAGTTGAATATTGGACAAATTTGTCTTCTTGTATAAAATAAATTTTGAAGTCTATTATTCTTATCTAGAGTAAATATATTTCACCCACATTAAGGTTGAGTATCCAGAAGTTGAGAAATTTAAGTAGCTTACTCTTGATCATGAAACAGATGCTCACAGGAGAGTCAGGACATGAGTCCCCCTCTGTCTGACTCTGTGATCCATAGTCCACTTGCTATGTTTCCTATAAATCAGGATTAGAATAGTAGCCTCACATCAATAAGTGGAAGTCAGGTGTAGAGGTAATACATGGACAACTGTGCTATGACTGAAAGAGTGAATCTAGTAAAAAGGAAGAGTGAATAGCTTGCACCAAATTTGAGTTCTCTAATTCCATTTGCAAGTTGGCTTGATTCCTCAGCTATTTCTCAACTGGGTCAAAATGTTTAGAACAAAGTGATAGAACATTTTAGAAAAAAGTCTATCATTACCCAACCATTCACTAAAAGCACACACAGTAGTTCAGAATAGAATTAAAGACCAGATTCATGTCTATAAAATCTACTCTTATTATCATACTTTAGGAAGATAGTTAAAAAAATGTATATTATAATATACAAAACTGATATGTGTGTTAAAGACCAATTTAACACAATTGTAAGTTCAATTCTTCCAGGAAGCTTTTAAGATAAAGTTTTCACATCTCTTTCAATATAGCCCCAAAGAACATAACCATTTCTTTTTTTTTTTCCCTTTTTAAAAAATTTATTGCAAGGTCATTTTGTATTTCTACCCTCAGAATTTTTAAAAGTGTATTACTGGTTTATATTTTAATGCTTTCTTCCTTTCAGAATTTCTTGTTTGCAATTCTCTAAATTGTTTTTATTTTGGTTGATATTTCTTAGCAACATTTCTTTATGCTAATTTGACCTTTGCATTTGTCTTTATACCATTTTCAACTTGAGTAGTCCCTATTTTGTTAAGCTGATGAGGTCAATAAGTTTTTAGCCTCTATCTATGGGACTTTGTTGGTGGTGATTTCAGTATTCATTCCAATTCTTCTGTCAGAGTCCTCAAGTAAGGAAGGATCATTTTGTTTGTCAAGTGGTGATTACAGGGAGAATGGAGCAGTAAATTAACTTTATATAGCAATCTAGACCAAAGAAAATACAGGAGAATATATTTCTTTTGGTATATTCATTGTAAAACATTATAGCACGTATTCTAAAAAAATATTATTATCATAATATTTAACATCTATCATGCCAGAAAGTTTTCTAAGAGGTTAATTTGTATTAAGACATATAGTATTTATAATCCTAAATATCAGGTGGTATTATTAAGCTCCATTTTACAGATAAGAAAACTGAAATAGAGGGCCAAACAGTTAGGAAGTAGGAGTGCTAGGAGTTCCCTATTGCACATGCACGTGCGTGCAAGCATGTGTGTGTGTGCATGTGTGTGTGTGTGTGTAAGGGGTATTATTAGTGAAATACACTGACAAATCTTAATAGAAGTCTTATTTAAAATTATGGCAAAAAATGAAGGTTTATTCTGCACTGAAGGTATGGAGTTCATTTTCGTCCCTATCTAGACTGATTTTCCCCAGTCTTTCTGGAGAAGTTTAAGAGCCTTCCTATTCTTCCACTCATCTTGTGTGATGTTTCATTTACTTTAGCTGTGAACAGTATGGTTGGGCTGATTCAAAAACCATTCCTTCTGTGACCCAGGTTCTTGGTTTCACTAGAAATTTACTCATCTAAATCTATGACATGAAATATAACTGACTTCCTTAGGACTCCAATCGACTCCCAGAGACTAAATCAAATGTTAGGCAGAATGTGGCTCAGATGGATGGCTGAAATGAAAACTACTTGAAAGTCTAGGGATTTGACCACCAAGAAACTAGGGAGCAAGTCTTAGTTCCTCCACAAATTAGCTAAACATTCCTGGACAATTTTCTTCCTTTAGTTTCTTTCTTTCTTTCTTTCTTTTTTATCCATTGCAGAGGAATATATACTTTTCAAAGTTTTTAGGGGTGGCTAGAAATAGGGCATGCAAACCCTATGTGTGTGGGTTTTCATCCAAAAGAAAAAAATATTACCACAAAAATGAGAGGAGCATTTATTGATACTTTATCCAAATTAATGTCTCTTTCCAACAACATAAAATATTTAGAATTATTTTATCCTGAGACAGTGGAATCATTTATATCTACTGACAATCAACTTCATTAAATAGAATAATCCAAGCAACTTTTGGGTGACTGAAAGTCACATATCATAATTCATATCGTGATCAGTGTTAGAAAGTTAAAAAGGCAAAGTTGCTTCATGGACTTGTTCTGATTGACTAATTCCTGTAATGTGATTCCTCAGATCTTTAAGTGTAAGAAAGCAATGGGGTTGAGTGAGTATATTTCAGTCATCTTGGACTACTCTAACAAAACGCTATAGACTAGGTGGCTTAAATAGCAGGCATATCTTTTCTCACAGTTCTGGAGGCTGGAAGTCAGAGATCAGATAGCCAGCATCATTAGGTCTGGTGAGGGCTCTCAATCTGGCTTGTGAACAGCCGCCTTCTTGCTGTGAACTCACATGACATTTCCTTAGCACATATAGGGCACTCTTCTTATTCTTCTAATCTCACTTCTAATTCCTATATGGGTGTCTTACTTTCATTAATTAATTTAAACCTACATATATCCTTAATGCTCCAGCTCTAAATACTATCACATTGGGGGTGAGGAATTCAACATATACTTAGTTCATGGTTATTTTAAACATTTCCAAATAGTGGAATGGGGTTCATTAATTTACCCTCTACAAAGTAGCTCAGGCTCATAAAAATCACATATAATT